TCTTGCAAAAAATGGTGGATTGGCCACATTTTTTGAGGTTAGGTACTTTATAATACACGTTACCCTGAGTTCCTATTTTACTAGATTTTGCATACTGGTCCGCACATATGGTCAGTATTCTCAATATTTTATTAAAATACACTGAAAAAATTACGATTCATTAAAAAGTCGAATATTTAAACTTTGCTTAATTTTTCCTAACTAATAGGGAATCTGAATTTCATAGATTTTGAAAAATAACCAACACATTTTGAGCGAAATCGATTTCATTCAGTGTATTTAAAATCAAATCAACATACTTCAATCATCTAACGCTTGTGTATCGAATAACCAAAATAATCTACTTATTTCTCACGATCTAGATGTGAAAAAAAATTAAGAAAACCTTTTTTTCACTCCCAAAATACTTTTGGAACACCTCATACATCGCTCATTAAATAATAAATAAATTGTAAACAATTAGAAATTAAACATAACTTTAATAATAATAATAAAAAATTATTATTTTTATTTTGCTTCACATATTTTTCTACTAAGCGGAGTTTTTTTGTTAAGAACATTTTATCAAAATACAGATACTAAATTCGTAAAAACTGTTTTTACGAATTTATAAATTTATTTGCGGTTTTAATTAAAATTCGGGTAAAAAGTCTGATACTGCGGCTTCGGTGTATATTTTTCTAAAGGAGGCCCTACACGCTACAATTTTTGTGAGATTTTAACTATACAGTCCATCGATTCAGTCCAGTGCTCGAAGTGCTCGACCTGACTCACATCTGGCCTCTCCTCTTTTATCTAATGTAAAGATAAGTAAAATGAGATTAAATTTTGCCTGTAGATCAGGATTGTGCATTGTATCAATTTATACCTCTATTTCGCAGATATATTGGTTTCTATAAAAGATTATTAGTAATGGAGGCCCTACACGCTCCGATTTAATCAACTCATTTTACTTTTTATCTTCACATAAGACAGAAGAAGACAAAAGAGGAGAGACCATATATGAGGAGTCATATCGAGCACTTCACGTTGAGTTATGGACTGAATCGATGGACTGTATAGTTAAAATCTCACAAAAATCGTAGTATTTAGGGCCTCCTTTAGAGAAAAATTAACAGATGCACCGAAATCTTTACAATCATTGGTGGCGAATGCTGGTGTCATCGATAGAATGCTCTTACATCGGAAGCAGGCTTCGATAGACATTTGGGAGACTTTGCAACTATGCGGTTTGTACAGAATTTAAATATTTTGCGAAGGTGCTCCTCCAACTTTTCTGGATTTTCGTTACTCGTCGAATGGAAAAAGTTTTAAAATCTTCGTGAAATTACACTATTTCAACTTAAAACCAGACTAGCATTATTTCAGAATGAAGTACTGCGGAACATAGGTGATACTCCAGATTTTTTATGTAATAGTAAAAAAACTGCAGGGCAACAAAGAAGATTTTAGTCCAGGAGGTAGCGTTGAAAATATAAAGTACTGCTTCAGTAGCGGTGGAGATGGTTACGATTAAACGTTGAACAAGTGAAAAATAGACAATCTAAAATTTATTTCAAACTACCCCAAAACTTATGTAATTAATGTTCATATATTAAGTAAAATGGGGTAAAATAAAAGTAATCTAAATTGTACGTCAGTTACTCGTATAAACCTGAATTTAAAAATATTAATGTTGAGTCAGGTACAAAGTCATTTGATACTCAATTATCCATCTAAATTGTCGTGAGAGTCATTTTTAACTAATTCGGTCCTGCTCTGTTCTGTTATCCAGTCCATGAGAGAGACATTTTAGTGCCTACGCGAAATTACTAGATCTTTGGACGCTCTCGAACAGGTCTAGCTCGCCCCATTTGTATATACATTTATCATTTTTTCTTAGTTAGTTGATACAAAGATTTTATCATGTAATGACAAATGGTCAATATAAATTAGTAGTGCTGGCACAGAAAAAGAGTATCTGAGATAAATTATTGTTAAATTGTAAATAAATTAGTAGATATAGCTGTAAATAAATTAAATAATGAACTGTTTTAAATAAATATATATACAAAACCAAACTTATAATGAATTGCCTAGTTATATAGGGTGTTTCAAAAAGGTATGTCATAAATTCTTCCTCAGATAGATTACCAAAAAATAAGTGGATTTGGCTATATTTACTTATATCAAAAACTGGCTCCTAACAAAGTTACAGGGCGTTAAACTAACATTCAAAATAACGTTTTTTTTTTGTAAAAAGTTTGCTGTTTTGATTTTTTCTTTGAATTTTTTAGAGCAGTAACTCCTGACCTACTCTTAGTTTTGTTGATATGTTAAGTCCAGGACGGACGAATTGCTCTAGAATTTCAGTTAAATAATTGTCAATAGCTCTTTAACTAAGAATGCTACAAAGTTCATATCTCTATAAGAAAAATTTTAAAATTAATAGATATTTTTGATTTTAAGATCGATAAAGCAAGTCTGTTTATGTAAAAAAAATACGGGTGGGTTAAAAGGTACCCAACCCCCCAACTTTTTTAACCTTAGAATATTGGGCCATCAAATATACAGTACTGGTAAAAATTTCAAAGAAAATATCACAACAGCAAACTTTTTACAAAAAAAAATAGTTTTTCTGAATGTTAGTTTAACGCCCTGTAACTTTTTTGGTAGCCAGTTTTTGATATAGGTAAATATAGCCAAATCCACTTATTTTTTTGGTAATCTATCTGAGAAAGAATTTATGACATATCTTTTTGAAACACCCTGTAGAAAAAAAATCATTTGTAAATAAAACAATGTTTTTACGTAAAAAAGAATACTAAAAACTATATAGTTTTTACTGTACAGACCAATTAAATATAAAGAGGTCCTCTGAGGTCAAAGATCTTGGCAATATTTATGACAATCATTTTTTTTGCTTCACATTTACAAAAATCAGTAAAATATAATACAAATTTTGGAGCCGTTTAAAATGACTAGTAAATTTTTAATTTTTAACGTGTTCAACGTTTGCTTACAACCAGCGATTGAGGCCTCTTTACCTCTTTCACTTATTAGTCATATTAAAACAATCATTCGAAAAAAAAAATGAAATTAAAACATTAACAAAACTTAACGATATCTCCTGGATAATTTAGTATTGGGAATTTAGACGAAAATTTCCTTGATAAAGTTAGCTTTTTATATAAAGAGCCGATGAGCAATTGGTCTGGAATTTTATAAAAGCTTCCAAGGACATTAATCTGTTTTGTACGTTAATATGAGATCGATGTTAAATTCTTTTTACAAGCTGTCAAAATCCACCACTCTGAAAATCACCTTCAAATGCAGAAAAAATGCAACACTTAAAGCGGCGATATGGGGGAGTATTCGGGAACATAGGCCTCAGTTTAAATAAGATATGAAATATACATGGTTTTCTTTGGCTTGGGCGTAATTACAACTTACCTTAAAAATATACAGTCACGCTCGGTACTAACTATATATCAAAAACAAAATACAAAGTGAGATCAATAGTATTTTTGATTATAGCGCAACACATTTACAAAACGTACGTCGATTTTTTTCTTCATCACATTCATCACATCTTCAAAAAAAATCTCACTATAAATTACATTATAGTCATGAGGGTGGCCAGAATTCAATATTATTTTTTATTTTTAAACTGTTTGACCAGTGGATATAAAATATTAGATACAGGGTTGATCTATTAGTGTGAATAAAATTTTATATTGAATATATTGGACTTTTTCATACTAATAGATCCATCATATATAGTATAAGAAATATTTTGCCGGTTGTCAAGAACAATGACGCATTTAAAAATAGTGTTTAAATTCATGTATAAATGTTTTATTGTATATTTCAAAATGTAGTTAATTTAATCTTAAGTTAACTTTACTAATTAAATTGTAATACATAATAGTATTAAAAAACAAAAATACTTAATGAAAATATAAAAATAATTATCATAAACAAGCCCCCTTCAGACATCGGTCATTATTCTTGAGAATATGAATTATAAAAAAGCAACTTAAGTTTGTTGTCTAAATTTAAAATAATTGGATCTCACAAATAAATTAAATACATACTGTATTATTTTATATAAAAAAGGGGGCGCCCATAGGGGCCATGTCCCCCTAAGGTTAAAATTCTTACAATTCATTAACGTTTCATTAAAAAAAATCAACTTAGAGCAAAGTTGCTAAATTATTCTTCTAAAACAAAAAAGTAAGAAAAGTCTTCAAAAAATATTAATATTCTTAAAAAAAAATAGCACGCTAAAAGCGTCTATGATTTTGTAAATCAAACTTTAATATCGACGGTGTAACTGAAATGAGCCCATATTAATCATACACATTAGACTTGTTTGTTTTAAATAAACAATGACGCTATCTCTGTTTAGCGAACGTTGGTCAGAATTCGATAGTCCGTCATTTTTCGGTATACTTAGTTCAATTTTGAAAAAAATTTAATTGCGTCAGTATTCTTGCAAACAGGCGATTTGAAAAATCATAAAAATCTGTTCAAAATAAATTTACACGTTAAAATTACTCCTGATAATTATTTGTGTATCGACCTGTATGTAGTTCCATAGAAAAAATTGTACTCATCGGCCAATGCTGTAGGTATATCCATAGATATACCGTTCGACTTGATACATGCTTTATTCAAGTTAATTCAAGCAAACCTATACATTCCATTTAAAGTTCCAATACATTCCTAATAAATAAATAAATAAATACTGATATCATTATTTTATAAAGATAATATTTTCAAGGCAGGTATGACATCTAAAGGTATATTTATGGACGAACTATTCTGAGCAACTCTAACGTGACAATGAGACTGAATTCCAGTCACCCTACCTTGGGTTCATCCCGAACGCAACCATACAAAAAACTTTTGGCTGCCATTTTTCAACGACGACTACAACGTCTTACCTTTTACATTTTAGGGGTCAATACCAGATACCATAAATGAGGCTACAAAGGGAAAGGGGATGGTTTTGGGATTTAAGCGTTGGAATCGTCAGACGACGGTGTGATCGCCAAAAGGGGAACCCCAGCTTCTTCCCCGCCAGTGAAAAAATTGTCGCTGGAGTTCAGAGCTTTGTTAGCCATGCCCCGTCTAACGTTTGAGGGAATGGGGGTTGAGGGGAGTTTAGTGAGTTTGTTTTCAAGAGTTGGAGCCGATCCTGCTTGGGTCGTCACTTTGGGGATGCGTTCTCTGGTAAGCCAGTACGTGGCCATCTTACCTTTGCCCTGAAAATAAATGATATTGTTAAACCAATAGATTTGTGGCTATTAAAAGTAGGTACAATAATTTCTATAATTGGGTTTTAATTATTAAAATCGTTTAGTAATTTTAAACTTACGAGAAAGTAAAAGTTAATTTAAAAGCTGAAAATTTAGAGATTATGCTCTCGTGTATACAGAGTGGTCAAGAAGGTATATTTCATTTTAGTTGCGTATATATCAAAAAATAGCTTAGGACAAAATGGAGAATGGTAGTAGAATGTTAAGTATGTGGAATTACGTCCTTCTATAAAAAGAAAGTTATAATAACAATAATACTCGTAATAACAATGTTTATTCATAATAAAAATATAGTAAGTAAAATACATACAACCCAATTAAATGAATATACACAAAAATATTAACGAAAGTAATATAAATAATTGTTTATGATAAATTTCTAGAAAATTGTGGAAATTGTATATCAAAACTTATTTTTATTGTAACAAAAATTGAATATTATGATTCATGAACTGATAATGTTACTAAAAATTTAGTCACAGGTATTACTTAACTTACTTATTAATTTGGTAAAATAAAAATATTCATTCTTTGATGTATATTAGTAAAAGTAAGAAATAAAAATTTGTTCGTTAATTCACTGATTTTTATTTATAATAATAGTGTTACCCACAACTGAGAATATTTGGTTCAACTGTTTATGTTCATGAAAAGACCAGAAAAATTTAATTTGATTTAAAATCATTTGAAACAATACTGATGGTTATGAACCAAATGGGTACAAGTTGTGAAATGTAGAAAATTAAAAATTCTTTGTTGCCAGAGACGTTAAATTCCTGTAAAAATTGATAAACCTACCAAAAACACAGAAACTGTAAGTCCTAAAGAAAAAATGATGAAATTATAAATATACCAGAGAATGTTAGAAGAAGTGAAAGAACAAAACATCTCCTTCCAAAAACATATTGTGAACAATATGACCACATATATAATTGTTTATCAGTTGCAAGTACGTGATTAGAAAATGTACCAAAATCTTATCATGAAATTTATAAAAGCAATGACAAACACAAATGAGAGGAAGCCATAAGAGTTGAAACTAACAAAACGTGGACACTTATAAATAAACCCGAAGGTAAAAACATTATTAGTTGCAAATAGATTTAACAATTAAAAATAATGAAGAGGGTAAACCAACCAGATATAAAACACGTTTAGTTACAAGGGGTTTCAGTCAGCAGTATCTTCAGGACTATGACGAAACATTTGCACCAGTTGCCAAGATTACAACTCTAAGATTTCTCATAGCTTTTGCAAATCAATTTGATTTAAATATCCACCACATGGATGTAAAGACCGCTTTCCATAATGGTATCCTCAAAGAGGAAATTTATATGGAAGTCCCTGAAGGTGTTAAATCAAAAGCGGATCAAGTTTGTAAACTAAAGGTTTGTTCCAACACACGCGAAAACCGTAATATTACCGTACAAATCGTGCGCTCTACCCAAAAATTGTATACAGCGTATGGATATGTACGGTAATATTACGGTTTTCGTGCTTGATGGAACAGACCTTATATAAAGCATTGTACGGATTAAAACAATCATCTTGATATTGACGTTTCGTTCATACTCTCAAGGATATGCAATTTAAAAGTTCTAAAGTAGATCCTTGTTTATATGTTCTAGACAATAACAATATAAGTAAAAACATTTATGTCATTCTATATGTGGATGACCTGGTAATTAAATCGAAAGATGAAAATACTTTAGCAGACTAATGTTTGATGAAACAATTTCGAATGACTAACTTAAATGAAATTAAGTTATTTTTGGGTATAAAAATTACAAGGACCGAAAATAAAATAACCCTAGATCTTAAAAACGATTTTTTTATTTAATAATAATAGTGTTACCCATAACTTCTAACAAAAATAATTAATAAAACATATTTAAATATATCAGAAACACATTGAATGAAACTTTTGATACATAATTTAACTTATATTTTTTAATTTAATTTTTAATTTTTTTTTACTTTATTTTTAGATCCGTTTTATATTCTATTTTGTTTTCATTCAACTCTTTATTATTTTATTATTATCTGTTCTTTCATTTTCTTTTATAAAAAGTACAAGTCGTTTTTTTAAGCTTTTATGATAAGTTTCCTCTTTTGCTCTATATGGTCACTAATTAAACAATTTTGGACCTAAATATACGTAGCTTCTTTGTCCTATAAATTTAGAAGTTATTGGTACACAGTGTGTTGTGTTCATGTTGAGTATATAGTATGTCCCCCTAAGTTGGAATCATATGGAAAACTTTTTTATTATTAATTTTAGGAAAAAAAGTTATTCTTTATAAAAAGTTCTGCATTATCTAAAACTTAGAATACAGTCATTAAATATCAAATTTTTTCAGTGTTATACAGGTTTGTCAAAAAATATGAGTTTTACTCAAGAGTAAAGTACCTTTATCTACTCCTATTAATTTATATATTAATTATTCAACTGCTTTTGAGCAATTAATATTATCAATAAACAAATAGCCTGAGTTTTAATAGTGAGTTATTATAACTCACGCTGGGCTCCTACGATAATTCGGTATATAAATAGTGTGCGCACTAAATTCTTGAAAATTTTAAAGTCGATAAATGTTCCATTGGCGTAAAATGTTAGAAAGATTTTTTAACAACTGAAAAGGATTGAATAATAATTAAAAAAATTAAAAATTATTAAATTGTCAACGTCTCTCAGTAGGCGGAACCGTCAATTATTACATTGTGGGGAGTAATGTCATTTGATATTTTTACAAAATAATTTTGACGTTTTCAAATCAATTTCTAATAATAGTGCTAAAAAAAGATGAATTTAGATAGTGAAGATGAGTTATTATGTACATCTCCAGAAATAAGAGAGAAAGCTAATAATGGAATACAGAATTATTTATTACCAGAAAAATAAAAAAAACAAGTATAAAGGTGTATACTAAAATTTTCAAGATTGGTGTAACTCGTTTACAGAAAATGCATATTTTAATGAACTTAGCAATAAATATAAAGCATCGTCTCTATGGACTTTCTACTCCTTGTTAAGAAGCACACTCAACATAAATAATGGAATTAATACAGATAATTATTCAAAATTACGTGTGTTTCTTAAACGTCAATTAGAAAAACAGTTAAAAAGGCAAAAACATTTACGCCAGAACAACTTAATAATTTCATAAATAAAGGTCCTGATGAGAAATATCTGGCGACAAAGGCAATAGCTTTTACAAAGATTTAAACGTTTTTATCATCTAGTCAATTATATAATTCTTTCTCGATACTTGTATCTTAGTATTTATTGTTATAGTCGTAGATAAAGTATAGTATTCAACTTGCGGTAATGGTCATAACTCACTTGATGAATTACAGCACTCGCCTGCGGCTCGTGTTGCAAACTTCATCTGCGTGAGTTATGACCTGCATTACCGCTCGTTAAATAATATACTATTATTTTTTATACGACTGATAAAATGTGATATCTGATGGTTGTATTTTAGGTTTTAGACCATGCTCGGCTTTTTATAAAAAACTTTTTTTTACTAAAATTAGTAATAAAAAAGCTTTCCTATGCCACCAACTGTCTACGTAAATTGCCGGCATATGAAAATCTTTTCCATATGCTTCCAACTTAGGGGGACATTCTGTATATAGCTTAATGTGGTAAGTTGATCCTTTTTTAACTGTGCATAGAAGTCATTTAAATAAACATCTTTTTCAAATAACTTTAAAAAAAAATAAGAAAGATATAGAATTAAAAAACTAAATTCGAGCCTTGACTTGTATCAAAAATTTAAGCTATTTGAGATGTACATTATAAGTGTAAAAATCTGGGATTTAAGATTCCCACTTAAATTTTTCCAAAAATAAAGTCTTCCAAATTTTTGGCGCAGACACCGGTATTTGAAGACCAACGATATTAGAGTAAAGTCATCATTAGAATATTTTTTTTACAGGTACATGCCATCTAAATGGTAGATTTGAATACCTCTAAATTCTACGGATCCATAGATAAATAATTCATCGACAAGAATGGAAATGTATGCAACTTTAATCGATTGAAGAACAGTTGAATTCGAGGTCGAGTGTATTATAATCGCTTCTCGTATTAAATGAAAGACCATCGTCTGGAAACAATGAACAATTGAAGGCTAATCATTTCTAGACCTGATTCTTAACCCTCAAGTTTCCTTTCTATCCCGGAATTTCTACAATTTCATTATCCGTTCGATTGTTTTTAGCGAGGATGGCGTGGCGTGATGTGTGGAAAAGGGTATAAGGATAAAAACGAAAAATCTCATTTTCGCCGTTTGAATGCAAATTTTATGTCTTAAGTTTCTCAAGTAGTTTAATTTAAATCTAATGTTAAAATATAGACATTAAATATTAACAGAGCCAAAATTCCGGATTTAAAATTGCTAATTTTAGATTTTAAAAAACGAGCAAAACAAAAGAAATATATGGTTTAATACAAGAGAAGAAAAAGGGAAGAAAATCCACAAAAGAAACAGCCCCGCTTCCTATGGGAGCATTCTTGCCGAAAAAAAATTTTCTTACACTTTTAAACACTTTTATTCTAACTAAGAACCCTATTGATTATCAGAATTTTTACTGCTTTAAATAGTAACGATTTTAAAATTTGGATCAAGGAAAATTGGAAGTGAAGGATTTTAAAAACTCCCACTTCAATTCGAATTTTATTGAGGATGTTTTCGACGCCACTGGTTTGTAGTTTCCGGTGAATGAACTTCGCTCAAAAGTGGTAACTAGGATCCTTTGCCAAAAATATTTCATTTGGATTTAGCGCTAGTCCTTTGGCAACGATTTATATCGGTTCGAGTTTTCTTAGACATCGTTTACAAACGTTTTTTGGCTCAGCATAAATGGAGTTGTCGAAACAGAGAGACGTTGAGTGTGGTTAAGTATAGAGGAGCGCTAATTAAAATCTTGAAATGTTGGGC